ACATGCAAATTTGATTTTCCAAGGTTCATAACCTATCTAGCATACATGGGGAACTTTTAAACTTAAAAGCTAGTAAGAGATACATACCTTTTGTTGTTGGAATTCCTTTGAGATCCTTGTGAGCCTAGCACCCCAAATGTGATGCCTCAAATGCTTCACACAACACCAAATACACTTGGAATAACCTTGAGAGAAATGCAACACACTTAGAAATCGGCTATGCCCTCTTGTTCTTTTCTAGTGGCCGATTTTGGTAGCTAACATATCCCTTTTATAGTGTGTCATAAGTAGGGTTACACCATGTAAACCCTAAATGAAATGAATTTCCATTTCTTGGATCCATGGGTTCAAAACAACCATGGAGCATCCATGGAGCATCTCATGGGTTTTAGCCCAAATCAATACACCATGGACTACAAGCCCATTATTGAAGAAAAGGATGATTACACAATTAGCCCATATATTTAATTAGTCTCCTTTTGATCACAAAATTAATTCTAAATTAATTCTTGATCAATACTAATTAAATAATATATTAGAACTTAAAATATATTAATAAACCATAAGTGTTATTTCTCTCATTTAAGTCTACCCAAGTGCATGATGCCATGCAACCCAAATGGACCATGCCAAACCGGGTCAAGTACATACCAGAATTAGTTATGGACTTAGACACCTTATCCAACAAAACCCTCATCCAACCCGTCGCGTTGACTATGCAACTCGTCGAGTTCCTTCAGTTTATTTCTCATTCAGACTCTTTTAAGCGAAACCAAAGCTCCAATTTGTAGATCTAGGCTCGTAGGGTGTAGTTATCACGTAAAGTTGCTAACTTTACGTGCACGCAAGGCTTCAAGAAGCTAAATCACTCAAAACTAGCCTTATAAGAAGGTTTTGGACATGGAAAAGGGCTAGGGCTAGATAAAGTTGAGAACTGTATGTTCATGAGGGCCTAGGGGGGGTCCGGATTTGAAACCACGTTCACATGACAAGCACAAACCCGATCATGATCCCTTTTTTTCACCAAAATGCCCATATACTAACATAAAAGGAGATCTAGGAAATGGAAAGCCAAGGTAAGGACTTTTAACCTTCTACTGGATGCCAACACAAGGTAGATACTGGATCTACAAGCTTCTTCCAGTTCCAAGCCTCTAAGGTACTGTTTGTTTTTTTTAAAAAAACCTCTTCAAACCACTTATTGCTGCGCGGCGCAGCACACGCGCAGCACTTTCCTTCTCGCAGCAGTTTGTTTTTTGGAAGACTTCAGACTACAAAACATCTGCGCTTGTGCTGCGTGGCACAGCACTTGACTTGCCTCTTCTAACCTCTTCAGCTTTCATTTTTTTCAAGTGTTTTTTTAAGAATTTTTGTATAACTTATTTTTTTTAACTTTTTTTTAAACTTTTATTTTCTTAAATTTTTATTTACGGATGTGATACAATTTATTTTTATAGTTTCCACTATTTTTTTTAACTTGATTTTTTTAATTTTTTTTACCGTTTCTACTAATAATATTTTCAATTTCAGTTGCATCTTTTTTAACGTGTGTAATTTTTTACGAAATTTGTAGACATCGTTTGCAATACTTTTTTAATTTTTTTTTTATTTTATTTTTTAATGTTTTTTAAAATTAGTTTTTTTTCTAGAATAAAACTATTGGCTTCTTTCACATTTTTTTAAGTTTTTTTTTTAAGTTTTATATTTTCGTTTTTTTACATGTTTTTTATTATTATTTCAATGTTTTAAGACTATAATTATTAAATTTCGGTGTTGAAAACTATTTTCAGTTTATAAAATTAGTTTATTTAAATTTCAGTTTACTGCAGCAGTCTGCAGATGTTAAAAAACAAACATGCTTCTTATTATAGGCTGCAGTCGTTTGTTCCACCTCTTCTGCTACAGAGGATTGCAGAGGTGGTCCGCAGACTTCATGAATTTTCGCTTCGAAAAAACAAACAGCACCTAAATCTTCAAGCCTCTTCAAGGATTGCACCAAAATACACACTTAGTCTCTCACATAGTCAAAAAATAGGGTTAGATCTATTAGGGTTTGCTTCTGGACGTCAAAAGTGACAAAGGTGGCTGGGGGAAAGGACTTAAGGTCCTTTAAATAGGGTGGAAACCCTAAACATTAGGGTTTCCATGCACAATCTCTACTCGTCGAGTTGGGGTCCTCCAACTGGTGGAGTGGATCCTAAAATCCACGCGGGCTGACCAGGTTCTACACGACGAGTTGGGGCCTCCAACTCGTCGAGTTTCTATAATACTATGAATATAAAAGCTTTTAAATTGTACCTAGGAGTCGGGATGTTACAGAAAGACGATTTTTTAAAATAATACCCTCATCTAACTTTAAAGGATTTTTTTTAACTTTGATGGCATGTAACAGAGTTTTGGCAGAAATATTTAATTTTGTCGGTATGTAACAGGTTATGACTTAAATAATGATACTAGATATTTAGGAAATCAGGTTTTCTTTGGTTCTTAAATTATTTTGAAGAAAGTGGTCCAATTTGGTATTATTGATCTCACAAAATGCAAGTCTCATGTCTCTTTTAGCATATCCATTGAGTTTAATAGTTCCTTGTCTATATTTGTTTTTAAAAAGTGTTAAATATTGATTTAATGAATGCGAGTCAGCAGATAGTAAAGGTGCAAGAAGAGCAAAGTATTAAATATGTGATGATCATGGCTATGTCAAGCCAAAATAAAATTCTAAAGTAACAAATGCTAAATTCAAAAGGTAAGCACTTGTAATGCATAATACATATTATACATCCCAAATAAATAACCAAAAGCTAACCTCATTCCCAAATAAATTACATTTTAACTAACATCAATAAATATGATTACACTGTCTTGATTTTTAATTATACATTATAGAGAGATGGTTAATATATAGTCAGTATTTTTATATTCGTATCGGTTTTGAACTACAAAAACTATATTCAAATAATAAAAATAAAATGGAAAATATACGATTGTAATAATGCGAAAATAACCTTAAAATTTGGTCTGATACAAAAATATAGTCTAAAACTTATTTCTAAAAGCAACAAGAAATAACTGACCTTTCAAAAAGAAATGAGAAATTGCAAGAAACTTTTCAAAACTATCAAGAATGTATAATATAGGATGATAATAATGCTAAAAAACACTGAGTTTGGTTTGATGCGACAAAGAATAATTTTATATGAAAGTAGGATTGCAGTAATACTAAAAGAACATGTATGTTTTTTATCTAATGCAAAAATGGTCAAACATACTTCTAAACCGACAAGAAATAGCAATAAACTTTAAAAAACAACTGATATATAGGAATGTATTTTCAAAAATCTCAAGAATGCAAATTACAAAATGGTAATAATGATAAAAACATTAGTCTGGTCAGATGCAAAAAAGAAATTATATGAAAATTAGGATGCTAATAATGTTAAAATTGGTCAAATAATGCAAAATTTGCTACAATTGGTATATGTCTGATAGTCAGAGGTACATGCTATACTCATTTGAGAAATTTCATTCCTTCTAAAAACATTCAATTTCATTCATTACAATTGACACTTCTTTCCATTAACCTTTTATGATCGTTTGGTGTTGTGTTCAAATATCTTCTCAGTAAGTGATTTCCATCTTAAATTGTTTAATAGATCCCCTATTCATCCAATTGTAGGTTATCAAAATCTCCATTTATTTGACATTCTCATTAATTCGGCCTCATTTTATTAATCTCTATTTGAAATTTTTAACTTTTTTGATTTGTTTAGGGTTGTCCGTTGAACCCATTGAGGCGATGACGAGGGAATTCGAGCTTTTAGCTGCATGTCCTGGTATGTCTCTACCTTATCACATGTTTAAGAAATAGAACCTCAATTTACCAATTTCCTTAATGATTTTGTCCCTGCTTTGATTATAGTTGGCTACTTTTGTACTAAATGGGTATATAATGAAAATCAAGTTTTTTTTGTTCTTTTATTTGTTTAGCATCCAAGCAACAAGAAAACATTTTTTTAATTCATCTTGAATAGCCATTTAATAGCTATATGTAAAAGATATGAATACTCGGCAGTTAAGACCACAGACCTTACTCAAACGCTCGCAAATGTCTTGAAATAAACATTTCTTTTTCCATTATTTTATCATTATCATAAAAAAGAAGACATCCTCATGTGTTTAAATTGTTTAATCTGTCTCATAATAACAAATAAGTTGTGTGTCAATTCTGTCTTTTGACATTTTCAATGAGTCACGAACAATATCTAAATCGAGCTACATATGTGGTTCATTTTAAAGGAACATAATAAGTTACTATTTTTTGAAATAAACAATTTCATTTTGCAATATAACCATAAAATAACAATGTATTTTGAAAGTACATTGTCAAAAGTTAAATTATACTTGCGTATACTTGTTTTCACGCATGGTCAACTATATGTAGTTGTTTTCCGTGTCACAAGTAAAAAATGTTTGAAGGTACTCATAGGTGACGAAGAATGTCGTTCAACTAATAAAACAAAAAATCTTGTCTAGAAAATAATCATTCAACGGCTATATATATTTACCGATTTCAAAGTATTTTCTACATATTTCAATAATCTAATAATCCTGGTTTTTTCTATAATTATTCCACAATATCTATAGATATTTTTATTTTATTTATATGTGTACCGCATTTAACACGGGTCATAATTTAGTTCAAAGACATGTTGTATATTACCTTTTAACCTTCAACACCAAAATAAAATTTCAAACATCCACCCGAAGAAAATTTTCAAACCCAACAGTAGAAAGACTCCTCTAGAACGTAGTTGGCATCACCATAACCTGACTATGATTTTAGGTTCTTTCAAAAAGAAAAATGTGGAGGAATATCCACCGTTGGATTAAATTCTACAAATGAATCTTCTAGACCTCTCATGACTTCCCTCCCTTTTTTCTACGCATGATAATTAATCAACAACGATCATCAATTCATCATACAGAAATCCAGAAACAATATGGCGTCTTCATTGATGCGATGGATGCTAAACCCTAACAAGAACTGGCTCGCTGCTCAACACAAGAAAGCACTCTCCGCTCGCCTCCGTAAATACGGTTTGTTCCTTCCTTCTTCCATTTCTCTGTTCTTCTTTTGTGATCTGTAAGACGATTCATGTGAACTTATTTCAATCCAGAAGTTCTAGTTCAAGTTCTATTTCAATTTGTTTTTACCTATTGTTTTTTCGGAACTTTCTGTTATGTAATAAGGATTTTATGAAATCTCTTGAAGGTCTTCGATATGATGATCTATATGATCCTATGTATGATTTGGATATAAACGAAGCCTTAAATAGGCTACCTCGAGAGATCGTTGATGCTCGTAATCAGAGACTGAAGCGTGCTATGGATCTTTCATTGAAGCACACGTATCTACCTGAAGATCTTCAGGTTCTTACTCAACTCACTTCTACTGTTACTTTTGTTGCTATTATCACTTGTAAACATATTATTTTGAGCATATAGATATCAGTTTAATTGTTTAAACCGATTATTATAAACTGAAACTCAAAATAATCAGTTTTGCGTGTTTGGTTACAAGTGATTATGATTTTAATTAATTTCACAAATTGGTGAATCATATACGAGTTTCTTATGATAATTGATAAAGACTATTTTTCTTTTTTACATAAGTGTTAGAACTAAATACTTTTGCATGTTTCTAATTATGATTACTGTTCCTTTCTTATGTGAACTTAATATAGATTTCTTTCTTTCTTTGTAGGCAAAACAAACACCATTTAGAAGCTATCTTCAAGAGATGTTGGCTCTTGTAAGTTCATAATATTTTCCTTCATCCTGCATTTTTTGTTTTAAATGTTCTTAAATTAATGCCATATCTAATGACAAAAATACACCGAAAAATATATAATTATAAAATTTGTAGCATATGTAAACACATTTGGTGAAAGAATAACATTTTGTTTTCCACGATTCACAGGTAAAAAGAGAAAGAGCAGAACGCGAAGCTTTAGGAGCATTGCCGTTATACCAACGAACAATTCCTTGAGCCAAGAAAAACAAAATTAAATCCATATTATATGAGAGTATGAGATGCCAAATTGTGTTTATTAGTGTGTTATTTTGTGTAAACTTAAATATGATGTAAAAAAACTGATATCTAATGGTGTTATAAAAGTTAAATCTTTATTTATACAATAATATATATTTTTTAAATTTATATAACAAAATTACCTTATACTTAAATTGTACAAACAAAATTTTTAACTATTTTAAGTTTTTAACTCAAGACATTTGTCTCATGTTATCCCTGCATGTTTTAAAAGAAAATTAAAAAAAAATAAAAGTATAAATAATTAGTCCAAAAAAACTATGATTCTTGAAATTCAGTCTAAAAAGAGTTAATGTAAATAAAAGGATCCCAATTTGAGGCATTGATTGCACCATTGACACCTTGGACTCCACCACCACCGCCACCACTTACACCACCTCCCCAACTTTGGTCACAATGTACCGCTGGTTGTTCCGGCCAAACTCCGGTAGCCGTCATTCCCAAAGTTGCTTGGGCTGCTCCGGTAGAAAGCGGCCACAAAGAATCCGTTGTGTTGTTGTCGAGGAAACTGCTAAAAACGTCCACGACTTGGTCGTTCGCCGCCGGCCATGAGATTTCCAGCGGCCATGAGGTGGTTGCCGATGGCGGCAGAGGCTCGTAGCATGTATTATCCCATTGCCCCCTTTCCAAATCTTCGGGTTTCTGATTTACGAGGGGTATATTCGTAATAACACTGGAAGTAGAAGCTACGGCGGCGGGCGGTGTTTTCCTCTTTACACCGATGTGGTGTTGCATCGTCGGTAACCCTAAATTTTTCCACTTCTCCGCCGCGTTCTTTGAGCTACCCCCGCCGGATAATTTCGCCTTCAAAGCTCCTAAAAGCCCATCATCGGCGTCATCCAATCGACAGGCTTCCTCGAACGAGAACGGCTCCGCGTTTTCCAGCAAACACCGGAGGGAGTTCGCCGTCTCGGGCAGTTCAAAATTGGTACGGGCATTGGCTCCACGTAATGACCGGGCAGCATCGTCGTACGCCCGGGCAGCGTCCTCCGCCGTGTCGAAAGTTCCAAGCCATAATCGTACTTTTTGCAAGGAATCTTTGATTTCAGCCACCCATCTTCCCGATGGCCGTTGCCGAACCCCGACGAATCTCGGGTGTCCTCTGGAGTTTGACGCCTTCCTCCGCCCCTTGACACCTCCTTCAGCCGTCGGATTCATAGTCATCAAAACTTTTAGAAGATAAAAATGGGATTAAATTCTTATATGTAACGTGAAGCCGTAGGTATCTGAATAACTAAGAAGAGGACAATTTAGAACGAGTCATGAGAACGACATTATTTGGAGAAAATGATGCAGGCGTGATAGATTATATCGGCGTAAAAACAATTAAAATATAGGGTAAATTACAGAAATAGTCCCTGTGGTTATATGAAAATTTTGGATTAGGTCCCTAAAAGTTTTTTATTGCTGATTTCATCCTTAAGGTTTCAATTCATTTTGAATCAAGTCACCATTATTAACACCTTATAGTTTAAACTGTTAAAAGTATATGAATTTACTTATATACCCTTACTATTCTTAACTTATTTTTGTATTATTTATAGTTTTTTGGAATTGATAAAATGAGAACGACCCAACCTCTGTCTTCCCTCACCTCACGTCTTTATATCTACCGTATGAATGCAAATAGATCCCAAGCATTGGACCTACAAATCGATTGCATATGAAAAGCTCCATCTTTTATAAAATATGCAAATTGATACAAATTGCCAAGCACCAGACCTACATATTAGCTTTTCAAAAACCTGCACATTCATGCCAACCTTCAAATCGATTACATAAACCAAATATTAACCCCATTACCACTCTACCCAATCCAACCCTCACCATCTTTTTCTCCGGGAAACCACCTGTAACTTTGTCTTCTCCGGTAAATCCATCAATATTCATCTTACACTAAATCATCGTCTTTATGTTCCACCATTCTTGAACCCTTAAAATCCATCAATTTTCATCTTACATGCAGTCCATAAATCATCAAAAGGTTCCGGCGTCACTCCTTTTTTGTTACTTTCTAATACAAACGATTAACGAAAGACCCATATGCATTTCATGAATAAGAAAAACATAAATAAATGAACACCCTTGTTTTTTGTTCCTTCCTGATACGAACTTTGGTGCACCATCCTATTGTGGTCAAAATGTTAGAACCTGGAGTGGGGAATGGGGTTTTTGGGCTCTGCAAATTGATGAATAAAAAACCCAAATATACTCGTTTAACAAAAAAAAACCAAAAAAATCATAAATTAATTAACAAAAAATCACTACAACTTTAATGGCTTCGACGTGTTCGTCTTCTACCTCCAAATAAATCGACAAGTAGAGAAGAACGAGAGGGAGCAGAAGAAAGAGAACTACTTGGAGAGGATTAGGTTAAGGGTGCTTAGATCAGTTGTTGGAGTGGGGTGGCGAGAAGTGGTGGCGACAAAGGTCTGATGTGGTGGTGACGAACGATGTGCTGGGTGTGAGAAATCGACGTGAAGAGATCTCAAAAGGGATGGTGGGCGGACATATCAAGGGTGAAATAGTAATTTAAACGTATTTAACGGAAGAAAATAATCAATGTTAATGATTAGGACTTGATTCAAAATGAATTAAAACCCTAGGGATCAAATCAACAATAAAAGTCTTTCAAGGACACAATCCAAAATTATTGTACAACCACATGGACTATTTCTTAAATTTACCCTAAAATATACTCCCTCGATCTCAATATTATTGTATTAAGACAAAAACACACAGATTAAGAAAAGCATTAATTATCACTAACTTAATAAAATGACAGTTTTGTCCTTACTTTGCATTTAATGTTGTATTAAATGTTTAGTTGGTTAAGTAATAATGAGGGGTATTTTGGTAAAAATGTTATTTATTTTTAAAAGTGGACTATTATTTTGGGACAAACCAAAAAGGAAAGATGGACTATAATTTTGGAACGGATGGAGTATTACTTATCTGTCCCAAAGTTTTCTTTTAAATCTATCGGTTTGCAATTTTATTATAATAAAGACATGAAAGTGTAATGATTTTTTAAATTTATTTATATTTAGTCATTAAATTTTTTTTTTTGTGTTTGATTTATCATCGAATTATTTGAAATTATTCACATCCTTATGACCGGGGTTAAATGTGAACAATTTCAAATAATTCAGGAGTAAATCAACCACAAAAAAAAAAAATTCAGTAACTAAATATGTACAAAGTTGAAAGTTCATTACCGAAAATCCAATAATTAAATATGGACAAAGTTGAAAGTTCATTACCATTTCAATTCCTTATCCCTTTTTGTAATCACATCTTAGTTTATTTTGTATATTGGTAGTAATTACTTAGATTGATAAATTTGATATCCATCACTACGATTTGTTTTGTATTGTGTTTGTACGGAGTATTACTGTAACATCTTGATCTTGAGGTATTTCCATTTTTAGCCCTTGATATGAGAATTGTGGCAATTGGACCAAAATGACATTTTTGTAAATATAGGACGTCCCCACATACGTTGGGCGTAATCCCAGGTATGTTTGGCGTACGTGGCATGATCCCAAACCCTAATTTTTAGGGTTTGGACCCTATTTAAACATCCTTAAGTCCCAAGTCGCATACATTCCATCAGCCTCCAATCCCATTTCGACCCTCTTTGCAAACCCTAATCCTTTTGAGGCCATTTTGAGCTTTGTGTGTGTTTTCGTGAACTTGAAGGTAGAAGAAAGAAGAGGAGATCATCCTAGAAGTGTGGAGCATCTTGGATCCAAAATCACATCATCTTTGGACACCATTTGAAGGTAAAAAGCTCTTAACTTGATGAAGTTATGCTTAGATCTAGTTTGGCCATGAAGTTTGTATTCTTTAGGTCCCATTAGTTTGGTATTATGAGTATGAGCTACTTCAATCCATTTAAGCTGTCCTTTCAGACGTTTTGGAGTGACTAGATGCATAAAAATGTGGAATTGGTTGTTATTTTCCCTTCCATGCATGAGTTTGGATGTCTTAACGGGTTAAGAGGTTAGGATTTTTGGTATTAAGCACTTAATGGCCAAGCAAGAGCATAAAGCTGGAAACTCTATGGTTAAGGACAACATATGAGGTCTATATCTGTAATTTGGACATAAGGACTTAAGCATTAAGCCCTTAACGGGAAGGGAAAGGGGTCAAGCGCGTACGATGGGTGTACCAAGTGGTACGTTGCGCATATGCGGTCAACCACCCGTCTTTTGGTCAAGACAAGAGTACGCCCCACATACTAAGGTTTGACTTTTTACTTTTTAACTTTGACCAAGATTGACCTGAGGGTATTTTGGATATTTTAAGTTGTATTCGAGATTGGTCATTATTGGTGAATAGGTGACAGGTAGAGCTGATTTTCGTAGCAGAGACCTATTCGGCAGTAACGCTTGGTCCAGGTATCATTTATGTCTCAACATTCTAGGGATTTGTGCTGGAACTCGACGAGTTGGGGAACTCCAACTCGTTGTGTAGGGATTCATTTGGACGCAGGATTAAGGACTCAACTCGACGAGTTGGGAGCCCCAACTCGACGAGTAAACATTGGAAAGGAAAACCCTAATTTTTAGGGTTTGCACCCTATTTAAAGGCTTTAAGTCTCATTGTTAGCCTCCCTTATCGCCCCCTTTGTCTAGAGAAACCCTAGTTCGTGCTTTTCCTACCATTTTGAGTGTGTGGGAGCTTAAAGAGTGCCTTTTTGGTGTTTGTTTGAAGAAGTTTGAAGTAGGAGGTGCATAGCTGAAGGGAGACGTTGTAGATCTGGTGTCTACTCTGTTGTGGCATTCATATTGAGGTATAAAGTTGATACCTTGGTCATTTATTTGCTAGATCTCTTCATTTGGGAGTTTATGGTCATTATTAGCTTATTTTGGGACCATTCTTGGATTTAAGCATGTCATGAAGCTATGACTTCAGATATGGACATCTCATGGCCTCTTTTGACTTAAAGTTGCCATCTTTATTAAGTCTTGGCCCTCCTTCATGCCCAAAATCCCTTAATAAGCTTAGATTGAGTGTTTTAACCCCCTTAATGCCATGCATGGACGTAAAGTCAGCAACTTTACCTAGTATCTCAGCCCTAGGGGATCAGATCTATAGTTTAGAGCATTAGACTCGCTTAGAAAGTGGCTGAATGAGTTAAGACTAGGAAAAATTGACGAGTTGCCTTTTTAACTCGGCGAGTTGGCCCGGGGTTTCCCCGATCTTTTAGACACTGTTCAAACTCGACAAGTTGCTATAATAACTCGACGAGTTGACTAGAGTTTTTCCCGATTTTCTGAGAAATGAAGGAACTCGACGAGTTAGCAAGTGCACTTGACGAATTGGGTCAACATGGACTGTTGACCTTGACTGTTGACTTTGACTTTGACCATAGTTGACCAAGTTTGATCTTAAGGGTATCTTTGTTAATTCGAGCTTTTGTTGAAGTTAGTCGGAGGGTGGTTGTAGGCGGTTGAGTTCGGAGTTGTGAGTTGGGATTTCATCTTACCAGTTCAACATTTCTTGAGAGGTGAGTCTCCTCACCATACCAATGGGTCGAAGGCACCAAGGCCGGCCCATTTTGTTATATGTGGTACACTAGTGATTTAGTGGTATGTGGTATACTAGTTGGTTATATGCTATGTGGTATGCTAGTTGTCTCTGTGATACTTGCATGAAAGACCATGGGGGGAGCCCATGGCACTTGGATATCAGACCATGTGGGGGAGCAAATGGCATTCCAGGTAAAGACCATGGGGGAGCCCATGACACTTGGATATCAGACCATATGGGGGAGCCCATGGCTTTCCAGGTAAAGACCATGGGTGGAGCCCATGGCACATAGATGTAAGACCTTGGGGGAGCCCACAACATCATGGAGTAAGACCCTGGGGGGAGTCCACGACATCCTTATATGTTATATGCATGGATTATGTGATTGATATGGTTATGTGATTATGTGGATTATATAGGGTATGCTCTGGGGAACTCACTAAGCATTAACTTACAGTTTGTTGGTTGTTTTAGGTACTTCAGGATCTAAGGGAAAGAGCCCGGCTTCATGGCGCTGCATGCACTCTCTGGCGTTTTATTTGGGACACTCTGATATTATGAATAACTTATTTGTTGTGATGGATTTTGAAAACAAATGTGATTGGAATTTTATTTCTTAT